GAAGGGGGGGGGGACGCTAGTGTTGATTTTTTGTTTTCCTCTTCTGTCCGCGTCTATTTCCTGCTTGGTTCCTCCCCATGTTCTCTCTCGTCTTTTCTGTCCCCTGCCTGCTCGCACGCTTCTCCCCTTCGTTTCCCTGCTATCTCGACTTCGCTTTTGCGACATGGGAATAGACGAGGCCGGGCAATGATGGAATCATGTCTCCTTCCATACACGCCACGCCCTGCAGGCCCTCCCTCGCTGCGGCAGCACGGCCGAGAAAGGGCAAGAACCGAAAAGAAGTATCGTTCGGATGGGATGGATGGATGGATGACCGTAGCATACTAATGCCAAAACACCATGGAAACATTCAAAAACTCTCACCGCAAGCATCAGCGACGCGTGTCTCATGTTGGAGGTAGTCCTCGAGGACCGAGGAACCGATGGCTCGACGCAGAACACGAAGCGTCACGTCGGCCATGCAATGAGTTCACGTCTTCATCATTGCGCCGGACTGTCTATACGTGCCACTCTGGACGTAAATTATGAATGAAAAACAGGACAAGGGAAGCCGGAAGACCATGCGAGGGCCCAAAGGACCCGAGGTATCGTACAAGTACAGAACAGGGGGCGTCGCCGCGTCCCGCCTCAACGCCATAATGCAGTCGGGCATCGGCCCGAGGATGAAAGAAAATAAAAAATACACTCTAGTGCTGTGCGCCGCCCATGCTGCTCGTCGACTCCGTCTGTCCCTTCGCTGCCGCTGGGCACTCCACTTCGTGCCCCTCCTCCTGGATGCTGACGTGTCCCGACGTCGAGTTCTGCCGCGAGATGCCCTCTCTGCTCTCGCCCGCCAGGCCCGCGTCCGAGCGGTTCCTCCTGGGGTCGTTGGGCGTCCAGTTGGCTGCCACACCGGCGGCAATGAGGCCAGCCATGACAGTCGGCGCGCCGAGCGCCGAGTTGGACCTGCTACGGTTGCTTCGCGAGCGCCTACGTGACTCGGGCGTCGGTGCCGGGGGTGCCTCGCTGATGCTGGCCTGTCGGGGTGGCGTGGCGGGCGGCGCCGGGTTGATGACCGAGTTGGACCGCGAGTGCGTTGGGCTTCTCGAGTACGTCACAAACGTCTCGCGAGGGTGCTGAACCGCAAACTTGAGGTTGTTCAAGCGTCCGCCCTTCATACGCTTGAGGAACGTCAGTTCGTCCCGCACGTCCGCCAGCGCTTCTGGGTACTGGCCAAACTCCTCGTCATCCACCGTGAGCTTGGGCCCGCTCTCCTTGGACTTGCGTTTGAGGTAGTCCGGGATGAGGCGCTCGACAAACTCGTCGGGGATGAGACGGATGACGATACCGAAGGGAATGGAGAGGAACCCGAGGACAATGGCGATGCCCCACATCAGGGCCGTCTGCTTATCAGGAGCAATTGACAAAGCAGCACCACCCACAAAGATGATCAAAATCTGTCCGCCGATCATAATCGAGCTGATAGCAACGAAAAAGTAATTTTGCGTAAGACCTTCAAAGATGTTGAAGCGATTATCGAGGCGTCGGTTGCTGGAAGCGGTTAGTCAACGCAATAGCATGATACATGGGGTTTGATCAACTACTTACTTCCACTGGTTGAAGATTTGCATCCACACAAACGTGTTGAACACGAGAGTGCGGACCTGAGCTTCAAACCTCTCTGGAGACAGGTTCATCTCATTCTTCACAAGGTCCAGATGATCGTAGCCGTAGAAGAGCATGAATGTTATGGCGAGCTGGTAGATAGCTTGGCCGATGATCATTTTCCACATCGTCGTAGAGATGATCGAGGCGTTGCGTCTCTCGGGCTTCCTCAAGAGAACGCTCCTCTGAGGCGGGTCCGTGGCCAAGGCGAGAGCAGCGAGAGTGTCCATGATGAGATTGACCCACAGCAGCTGCACCGCTGTGAGGACCGATACAGCACCTTCGCCTCCGTTGCTGGAGACAGACGTAACGAATGTGAGCACGACGGCAGTAATGTTGACCGTGAGCTGGAACTGGAGGAAACGTTTCACCGCGTCGTTGACCGCACGTCCCCACATGAGAGCCTTGACAATCGAGTTGAAGTTGTCATCCATGAGAATGATTGCGGAAGCCTCCTTGGCCACTTCGGTGCCCGCGATGCCCATGGAGAAGCCGACATCTGCTGTCTTGAGAGCTGGCGCATCGTTCGTGCCATCACCTGTGACGGCGACAATCTCGCCCTGTTCTTTCAGGCGCTTAACCAGGACGCGCTTGTCCTCGGGGCTTGAACGAGCGAGAACGTGTAGTCGAGGCAGAATCTCCATTTGTTCGTACTTGGTCAGGTTGCGGAATTCAGGTCCCTCCATCACAACACTGTGGGGCTGCAGAATGCCGCACTCCTTGGCGATGGCCTGAGCAGTGATCTTGTTGTCTCCGGTAACCATGCGGACGCAGACACCAGCGCCCTGGCACGTGCGGACAGCCTCGGGGACGCCTTCACGTAGAGGGTCCTGAATGCCTACCATGCCGACGAAGACCATGTTCCGGAATAGGTCCTCAAAATGAATCTCGTTCTTGTCGGCGTCACCGCGATGGGCGGTTCGCGGGGGCCATTGGGGAAAGTCTTTGTACGCAAGGCCAATCGTACGAAGGGAGCGCGAGGCGTAGCTCTCAATGAGGCCGTTCACCATCTTGTGGTTGTCGACAGTCATGGACACAAGCGAGGCATCGGTCGACGGTTGTCCGAAAAGCTCGCTGCACTGGGCAACGACAATCTCGGAGGCACCCTTGACAAGCAGTCGAGCGCCACCACTCGGGAGTTGGATAACAATGCCCATGCATTTGCGGCCGGAGTCAAAGGGAATAAGCTGAAGGGTGTGAGCGTTGGCGCGCTCCTCGCTGACCGGACCCATGCCGAGGTGAGCCTGGGCCAGCAGGAGCAGGGCACTTTCCGTCTTGGAACCGATGAATGTCTTCTCGCCATCGACCTCGCCCTCAAAGGCAGTCGAGTTCAGGACAATCGACTTGAGAAGGATCTCCTTGACCTCGGGTTCCAGCATCTTGACGAATTCGGGAATCTGGATGTCACCGCCCTGCTCGACGGCAGAGCTGCCGAGAGCACTGCCTGAGCTTCCAGGGCGCTGGGCCCGAACTGATGCGTAGTCCCGATCGTGCCAGCCACCACCTGCATCTTGTTTTGGGTCAGCGTTCCAGTCTTGTCGGAGCAGATGTTCGTCGCGTTGCCCATGACTTCGCATGCCTTGAGATGCCTGACGAGGTTGTTGTCTTTCAACATTCGTCTCGTCGCGAATGCCAGGGCAAGTGTGACGGCGAGAGGCAGTCCCTCGGGAACAGCGACGACAATGATGGTGACGACAACGATGAAGATTTCGAGGAACATTTGACCCTTGTCAGCCGGGGTGACATCGCTGTCGAGACGGGGCAGCCGCACAAGGAAGCGAATGAAAAGGACGATGAACAGGAGCAGACCGGCGGCACCTCCAAGCTTGGCGATGTACTCGGCGATGATGTTCAGTTTGGACTGAAGCGGTGTGACTTCGGGATCCTCGTTGAGTGCCATGAGCGTCTGGCCGTAGGTAGAGTTCACACCAGTCGAGGTGACCATGAAGGTGCCAACACCTTCCATGACACGTGCGCCAGAGAGGATGAAGGGGTCCATCTTCTTGACATCTTCGTGGTTCTCAATGGCGGCAAATACGTCAGCCGCCGCCTTCTTCTTGATGATGTCGGACTCTCCCGTCGCCTGAGATTCGTCGCATTTGACGTTGAAGCCCTCAATGAGCAGGCCATCGACTGGAACCAAGTCACCTGGTTCCAGGTGAACGACGTCGCCCACCAAAATGTCGTATACGGATATCTCCATGATCCTTCCGGAGCGAACAACCTTGACATCGCGGTCTTGCTTCTTCTTGTTGAGCTTGGCAAACTGTCGCTCCTTGGAATAGTCGTTCAAGGACCCAACAACAACAACGATGACAATGGCAGCCACAATGGCGACGCCCTCCACCCACTCCACCCTGGACTCGCCCTCTTTGTGTTCACCACCCACCGATTGGTAAATGCCGATGGCGAGGGAGACGACAGCAGCAGCAGTCAGAAGCATCAGGACCTTGTCTTGGTATGTGATCCACATGAGCTGCAAGAGACTCTTGCCCTTCTTCTCCGGAAGGCGGTTGTCCTTGAAAACTCGCTTCCTGTCGACAAAGCTGCCGTCCCCGCCCGCTGCGGGATGAGGACGCGCAGGGGCCGCAGAATCCTCCTCCTTGTGACGGCCATCTGACTTGAGTGCCAGGTGGCTCGTGGCCTGCTCATACGTGACGTGCTGAGGGACGTTGTTCTCTTCGATACTGAGACCTGCTTTCCGATCGCTCTGGACACCCTTTTCGAGGCCGGCCAAGCCTCCAATTTGGTAGAAGGCGGCCAGGCTCTTGGGGTTGAGAAGCTTATTCAGTTGACCAGGACTGAACGCAAAGGGGTTGTTGTCGACTTGGAAATCGCTCTCCTTCCCTTGGTCTGGCTGCAGCGCAGTGTCGTCCTTCATCAGCTTGTCGTTGGAGAGGTGGTGGCTGTGGAAGCCAGTCTTTTCGGCGTTCGAGCCCGACACGGCGAGAGTGTCGCCTTGCGAGGAGACGAAAGACCGAGAGGTCTCCACGTCGTCGTCGACCGAGTTTTGTCGTGAACGGGCGGTCGTCGGCACGGAGAGGAAAGCGCGATCGTTGCCTCTGGCAGTGATGGGGCTCGAAACGTTGTGTGGGCTCCGGGGCCGGCTATCTCTGCTGTCGAAGGAGGTCTCGGCACGGAGCTCGGGGCGGGCATAGGGGTCCTGGGCGGCGAGCATGTTCTGCGAAGCGATCCATTGCGCAGCGGCCGGGTCGACAACAGTGGAAGGACTGATAGCATCTTCTTGAGGGGAGGTGGGACTGGCACCGAGATTCGCTCGCGCGTCGTGAGGCACATCGGGAGTCGAGGTCGCGGCCGTGGTGTCAATGGTAATTGTTGGTCTGTACACCCGTTAATAGGCTAGCACTACGTACGGCGTGGCGGCCACAGCTGAGGGTTGACAAAACTCTTGTCACACATACGCGCGAGGTCTGCGCTGAGCAGGAGCAGGGTCGTCCTGCGCGTCGCGATTGGGGTCCATGATGGCGGTGTTTCCGTGTTGGATGAGGGCGAGGCGTGCGCTGTGGCGCGCTGGGATCGAGTTTGAAGAGGAGCAATACAAAATATATCGGAGAAGTAAAAGTAAAGAATGCTGTTGTGAGGTTCAGAAGGGCGTGGAGCGAGGCAGCGAGAGGTGCTCAGGTCCCATGAAGGATGGTGAATGAGGGTCCGCAGAAGGCGGCGAGCGTCATGCACGGCACCAAGCTACTTCTGCTCTGCTATTATGATTGTGAGAAGGAGTGTGATGAAGTCAAGTAAAGTAGAGTGAAGCGGTGCAGGGTGCTTGTCGGAGGCAGACGCGCACAAACACTGATCAGGCCAGCAGGGGGCGGCGGGCCAAGGGAGGGGGTTTATGGATTAGATGTCGAAAGGAGAAAGCAGTAGAAGGAGAAAGCAGTAGAAGGAGAAAAAAGCATGACATCGAACACAGATGACGAGAATAGCAAGCAGCGGAAGTTTGCTTCCTGCAACATGCATTATTTTGCCTCTGCCTTCGCTACCTTTTTAGGTACCCTGCTCGGTAGGTGACCTTGAGGTAAGGTGCGTGGCTACCTGGACCTTGCCTTCTGGAGATACCTACCCAGGTAGGTACTTACGCCCATGTACCACGCCTGACCACGTACACCCCCAAGTTACCCACCCACCTAGGTAGGCACCTACCTACTACATGTTCCCTTCGATACGGCGAGCTTTGAGGCTCCTGGGGCACGTCTCCCCCAGTGAGGCAGTGCAACCGCTGAGGCAGGGTCTCTCACTGGCCACCGGCTCTCGCAAACGGGGGAAAATGGGGGCCACCCGAGGGAAGGGCTAGGGAAGATTCGAGGAAGGCGCCAGGGGGCCCAGGGGTACGGCAGGAGCTGATGGCACCTCGGCCGTGGAGGCTAGCACTGTTGGGGCGTAGTGGCCGCAGGGGCCTCGGTGCTTGACATATGCAGGGGCGCGGGTAGATCGCTATTCGGCCACTGACTTCTACACCCGGAGCCCTACATGCCTATGCCGGACCTAGGTACCTACCTGCCTAGGTAGATGGTAGGTACACAAATGCCTATCGGTTGAGGTACCCAGGCAGGCAAAGCCAAAGGACCTTCTCCAGCGCTGCCTCCTATTTCCCCCTTCGTCGCCCGCCAGTCTCACACCACAACCACCCTGCTCGCGACATCAGTGTCGTCAAGCACCGGGCGGGGCATACCATGACACGACAAGACAAAGACAAAGAGATGAAAGCACAACATCGAGCAGTATCATGCCAATCGCCAGTTGCCCTAGCTACGCGCCGTATCCGCTCCTCTTTCTGACCTTCTCGAGAGGTACCCCGGAATGCAACTGTGGGCGGACGGGGCGAGCATGCGCTCTATCTGCTGCTGTTGGTCCTTGGTGCCTCGTGTTCCCGCATGGCTACCGCTGTTTGTTGTGTCGGTATAAGCCTTTCACCTTGGTATCCAATGAGCAAGCCACCAGGGGAGGGGGGGCGAGAGAGTGCTACGCAAAATGCTCCCAACAAGCAAACACGGCGCCCTGTGAAGGTTCGACGTACTGGGTTGGCCCAGCCTGATCAGATCAACAATGACATGGCTTGCTCGCTTTTTTTTCAGCCGTCTTGGTTTGCATCAGATGGCCAAGCTTTCCTCCCTCCCTCTCTCCCTCCCTTCGTCTCATTACAATCGCTTTGTTGACAATATCTCCAGGGCCGACAAGTCTCCACCCCGTCTAGAAACAACCAGGCCCAGCGAACTTGGACGAACATTGGCCAACCAAGCCGACAAGGGACGCTCATCTCGTTTCTTGGCATGATCTCCGTGCCATGCCAAGCTCCACCCCTGGCCCATTCCCCCCGAGCACTGCAAAATTGACCGCGGCAGAGAAGGGGGTGAGCGGCTGTTCGGAACTGCCAATTTGGCACCAAGATTGGTCAATGGGCATGTGTCTATTCCTCAGGAGGCCTTGGGAGGACCGACCTGAGCTGTCATCAGTCAGGCGTGAAAAGGAAGCAACCGGCGAATCCAGCTCCCATCATGTTCGCTGAGAGTCCCTTCGGACGTAAACTGCCCGGCACACAAAGAAAAGATGGAGCGAAACAAGACAAGTGCCACACTCCCTTTAGCCCCAAAGTCGGGCGCTTCACACCAAGCGCCTCAAACCGTCCGACTCTGGCGCCTGAGCCACTCGCCCTGTCCAAGGGTGACAGGTTGTTGGTCACGAAACGGGGCCTTGTCTTCAGTACGGCAAAGCTTCAATGAGTCTGTGCCTCCCAGCGTTATTCCCGTCTGTCTCATTCTGTCGGATCTGCACTGCATTTTGCCTATCCGCACTTTCATCCTCGTTTGGGGTTGCCTTCTTGCGAAACCGGCTGAGCTCTTGGCTCGGTTTGGGTTGCCTCAGTGGGTTGCATCTGTCGTGATATCAATCGTGTTGTCCATCAGCGCATCCTTGGGACGTGTGTGTCGCATTGTAGATTTAGTCTCGGAGGCTGAGTAGCTTGACGAAACTCTACGTGCGCCGTGCAAGACACGATCCGAATGGTGTTCATCGGTATCAGGAGCGTACAAAGTTTGTGAGGCAAACCGCAGATCAACCGCATAGCCCGTCTGAAATGAGTGACAACTCCCGTGGCATATTTCTGGCCCTGGATTTTGGTTCGACAAAGTTGACAACCACGGGGCGAGGTAATCCCAATCGGAACGTTATCATGCGCAACATGCAGAGTGCGCCTCGGGGCTTCGTTGGTGCTGGGGTGCTTCCAGTCTGGTACCGATCCTCGTATGCCAAAGGCCGCCCTATGCCCATGAGCTTGATTCGCGCATAAGGCAAGGGAGAAGCTTGGCTAGGTACTTTCATGACATTCGATATCTCATAGGGTCTGTTATTTTCTGGTCTCGAACTGTCGTTATGTCATGAGCACCCGGAATTGAGGCGGGATGGATACTTTCGATCGACCGAGTATCGAAGGCTGATCTCGGGTATTGACGTTGGCCTTGCTACAATTGAAGCACCATTCAACACTCTCTCTCGGATTGATAGAGCGCTGCTCGTTGTATCAAGTTATCCAGTGGCCCGCACAGTTAGGTTACTTCGAGGGGGCCATCGGCGGGCCCCATTCAATAACCATATTCAGAACTACAAGCGCAGCATATTATGCTATTGTAAGGAGGCTATCGACGTTGCCAACCGCGCAAGACCGTCAGTTGCATGTCCGCAAGCTAAGCCACTCAACGTGAGTTCACGAAACGTCATGCGGGGTGCTTTACCACACTCAGTCACAAGACATGATCCAACGTGACGGTCGACAGAATCGCACGCGAGTGATGCGAGCTGTGACACGGGAGCATGAAAACACCAGTCTGAAGCATTACCGTCTAACCCTGACGTGCAAACCTCACCCAAGAACACAAAACTTTTTACCCCATAGTTGACCATTTTAATAACCCGGAACACCATCAAAAACCCTTGTCCCACGAGGACACACACACCGGAGACTGAACAGGCAGAGGATCACCTCCGGCCCAGATCAATCTCCCTTACAAGTTCCATCGTGCCCTCACCCTCGCCGGCGGCGGGGGTCTCGACGCCGAAGAACCCCGCCACAGCCGTCCGCACGACACCCCGCCAGAAGCCAGCCACGACCTGCCCCGTCCGGCCGTCGCCGCTCTGCTTAAAGTCCGGGAAGGCGTTGACCTCGAGCAGCCAGGCGTCGCCCGCGGCATCGACGAGGAAGTCGAGCCCGTACACCTCGAACGCGCCGGGTAGCGGCTGAAAGTGCACCGTCATGCCGCGCGCCGCGCCCTCGAAGACGTCGCCCGTCAACGCGCCAATCTTGTCCCGCACGCGCCGCTCGACCGCGGGCGCGAGCCCCAGGGCCGCGAGCCGGCGCACCGTCGGCGTCGTCGTCGTCGCCGTCGTGGCGCTTCGTTGCCGGGCCGACGTCTGGAGCACGTGTTGTGAGGTGGGCGTCGAGTTCTCGGGCGCCGTCCACGG